CAGAATCTCAAATTTAGGACACTCAAGGTACTTTGCTGTTATACTCTTTTGAGTCTTAATTTTAGGAAGAGCAAGAAGAGCCAAAGTAATCAAAAGTACTTTTGAGGATAAAAACCCAGCTTTGGAAGTAGCAACTTCTCTATTTGTCCAGAATAAATAAGAATTCATACAAGATAAAAAAATAAATATTTTTTTGACTTAGAACAAAAGGTGTCTGGGCGTGGTAGCTCACACCTGTAATCCTAGCACTCTAGAAGGCCAAGGCTGGAGGATCACTTGAGGTCAGGAGTTTGAGACCAGCCTGAGCAAGAGCAAGAGCAAGACCCTGTCTCTACTAAAAGTAGAAAAAAAATTAGCCGGGTGTGGTGGTGCATGCCTATAGTCCCAGCTAGTCTGAAGGCTGAGCCAGGAGGATCCCTTGAGCCCAGGAGTTCCAGGTTGCTGTGAGCTAGGCTGTTGCCATGGCCCTCTAGCCTGGGGCAACAGAGTGAGACTCTGTCTCAAAAAAACAAAAACAAAATACAAAACAAAACAAAAGGTGGTGTCCTCCATGGGAAGCATGGATTTAAAAAATAATCTGTGTTACAAATTTATTTTTCTAATTTTAGATCTGGATTAAAGTAACTTTGAGCACAGTTTTCCCCATAAGTCTTGTGCTTTCTAGAATTTTATAACTTTGACTCTAACAGAAAACATTGCCAGACATTATCATATTCACTTTAAAATAAAACGTATCCTCTGAAGGTTTGTCAAACTGGAATGAATTATTTTAGCTCATTAATTTTTTTTTAAACAAGGAAAAAGGCATACAAATTTATTTAATGTGTATACATGGGAGCCTTCAAAATAAATACCAAAGCCCCAATGGGATACAGAAACTTATATAGCATTTTGAAGTCAAGAAAGAATGTGGACTGAGCATGGCCACAAACACGTTTTAGTGGCAAGACAGGTTATGGGAAAAGAAGATTGGCTAGGAAAGGTGGCTTTGTTAATGCAGCCGAAGCCTCATGGATAGCTCTCAGAGATGTCTCTTTTCTGACGTTTAAAGGTGTCAGCCTTTTAATCTTTCTTGTATGGGACAAGGGAAGGCCTGGTTGCATGAAGGGCATGCTAGCATGAGAGCACAGCGAATCTCAAAAAGAAAAATACAATGATTACGCAAATCCCATTCCTCCCTCCTTCAAGCCTCTTCCGCCGGATGCCTGGCGCATCTGTCTGACGTCAGGGACGCGCCGCGCAGTATATTCCGGAGCAACATCGTTGGCGGGTTCTAGCTCATTAATCTTAATTCCTAGAATTAGGTAAATTACTTAGATATCTTAATGAGAATCTAGAATTTGGTCTCAAAACATATAAATGCTGGTGCTTGATCCTTCAGGATGTTCCAGATTTCATAACAGTGGTAATGTTGGGAATGGGTCAAAATATATGTGGACTGTGAGTGATAAATGAAAAGAGTAGACCATTGATGAGATGACCATATGTCTCAGCTTTGTTTTCCTTGTCATAATTATTAATAGTCCCCTCTTTCACTCTCAAAACTGTGTTGGATTGAATGATAAAGTATATGTTCCTGCTGTCTATTGGATTGATTGGTTCATGGCAACCAGAAAATCCTTTTAAGCTTAATTTTTGAATTATCTTTAGGCACTAAAGATATTACATTATTTTACAAATAAATATAACCTGAAACAAGTTTCAATTTAAAAAATTATTTTTACTCTAAATTTGTAAGACTGAAAGATTGATTTGTAGGTAACAGTTTGTGGAAGCTGTTCCTTGATTGTGTCAGGAGTGTATTTTATGTCTCTCTTTGGATAATCATCAATTATCAGCTTTAACTAGTTCTAGTAATTTCTTTATTGGCTTATTAGGATATATTGTCCCTTTATATGAATTATTAATATGAATTATTGTTACAAGTCATTGCTTTTTACTAGTAACATGAATTCATGAAGATGATATTTGGTTGCTCTTGGGAAATTTCTTTTAGCCTATCCAGTCCATTTTTATAAGCAAGATTAGGATGGCAAACTTGGAAAGAGAATTTCCTTTACCTGCCTCCTCACATACACCCTTACCCTTGGCAGAAATAAAAATGATCCAAGGGTGACCCCAGATCAAGGTAGGGGAATAGGAGTAAGAAATGCCAGCTATCTCTAATAATAATTATGATGCTAATAATGTTAATAGTAATAATTGTAAGTGCTACTTTTGAAGCACCTTCTATGTTCTAAGCATTGTGTTAAGCATTTAATTTCATTTTAATCTTCACAGCAACTTCTGTAGGGTAGGTGTACAGATCAGAAAAATGAGGTTCAGAGAAGTGGTGATATTTCAAGGCCATAAGCCAGTAAGGCAGGATCTGAACCTGGATCCCTTTGGCTCCACAGCCTGTGATCTTTTTACTACATAATGTTGTCTTTGTAATATGTTAAGAGTTATAAGGGAAATCAGTGCTGTTGTTATGTTCCAGGTTAAGATAGTAACTTTATTTAATGGACTGATCATGTGAGGGTGTGCATGAAAGCTGTAGTAATCTGAAAGGGAGGAGTCTGATGTAACCTGATGTGCTGATGGCACCTCAGAGCTGGGGGTAGGTAGTTGGTGATATTGGGGACTAGAATCGAAAATGGCTGAGGGCTTTTTAGTAAAATCATAGGAAAATTAAAGAGAACTTATACAGCGTAGAGTAGTCAGGGATAGTAAATGAATTTATTAGAATGGTGTTATGAGTTTGAACAAAAAGAATAAAGAAAACAGGGAAAGCACAGTTGGGATAATAGAGTCCTGTGTTGATTGTTGAGACAGCTCAGTTAGGAAATTTATTGAAGTTCTTTTAAGCCTTTGCTAACATGGTTAGAACCCAAGAGAATGAATGGTGTTTTAATCAGGTCAGGTGACCAAGTGGGGAGCAGACTTCATTTGAAGAGGATGTATCTGCTACCAGGTGCCCAGATCTTAGGGACTTCGGGGCTATATCTTAGGGACTTTAGGACCCTGGAAGGTAGATAGATGTTGCTTAAAATAATGAGCCCAGTTTAGTCCCTACCCCCTAAGATTAGTATCCTTGAAGTTTTAGGCTGAGGAGGAACCAGAAAACCAGATAACAGGGTGACAGCTGTGAGTTCCTGAAAAGGACTGATGAGATACACACAGATTAACACATTGGTTTAGCACCAGGTTCCCCACAAAAGTGCATTTGGGTGCATGGGGCAGATTAACACATTGACTGCCACGATAGAAAAATATTTTTTTTTCCTTGGTGCCATGGTGTCTATTATGAAAATAGGATAAAAACTTCAAAAACAAAATGATCTGTTCTAATTTAATGAAAAATTTGTTATTTTTTATTGTTTTCTCTGTGTGAATTATATGCAACTTGAAAAATAGTTCACTCAGCTCCCAAGATGAGGAGATGTGTGAGGTACATATGCTTCATGAGGCCCTGGGCTCAAAACTAGTGTGAGTTAAATGCAACTCACATGGCAGTTAATGTGTTAAAAGTCTTAATGAGAAATTGAGATTGTACTGCAATTTGTATAAAATATACCCTAAAATTTCCTTAATACACTTGAGCTGTGTGCTTAGCTACAATGGCCAGGATATGGGGAAATGGTAACTCTCCAAGAAAGGAAAGTGGAGAAGGGCCAGGAAAATGTGGGTATGTTTGATGATAAGTTCCCCTGTCTTTTGATTCTCAGTGTTGATAGTAGAACATGTAGAGAACAATTTTTATTATTTCACTAAAACCGGTGCCTCTCTTTATAGCACTTTCTAAATTTATCAGTTGACTTTAAAAATAGGTTAATAGTATGTAATCAGTCAGTTAAAGTAATAATCCTGAGATCAACCTTGTTTGTAATCCTACCCATCCTAGCCGAAATTTCTGATGCTTGGCATTTAGTGCTAATTGTTTTATATCCTCCACACCCCAGATCAAAATTTTCTCAATAATTAACTGAAACTGAAGTCTCAGTTTTTAAATATTTCAGTAGGAAGAAAATGACTAGAATTACAATTCAAAATAGGATATTAAAAATATCTTTTAATATTGTGTTTTCACAGGGGTGGTGGCCAGGTAGCTTGGCTAGAACATGGTAGTTTGACCAAGGTGCCTAAGGTTAAGGGTTTGGTCTTTAGGAGTATTAGCATCTTTAGAGTTAGAAGAACTCTTTGTTGTCTCCTAGTCAACTTTCCACTTAAGGAAAGAATCCCTTTTTAAGCATCTTCAACAAGTTATCGTTTAAGCTTTGCTTGAATATTTCCTTTTTTGAGAACAATATTTTTTTGAAACTTTGTTGCTTCTGGTGCCACAGCCAGTAGCTTCTATGTAATTGACTTAGCATTTTATGGACATGTTTTAGGTCACAGGGTCATTCTCTAGTTTCAGGAGAAATTAAAGCTTTCCTTGTGCATATGAAGGATATCTCATGGATATCTCATGTTACCACAGCTCTAAATTTTTCCAAATTGAGTTTGAGGCATTTTAAAATTAGCTAGGTTTTTTTTTTTTTTTTTTTTTTTTTTTTTTTGAGACAATCTCTCGCTCTGTCACCTGGGCTATAGTGCTGTGGCGTCAGCCTAGCTTACAGCAACCTCAAACTCTTGGGCTCAAGCGATCCTCCTGCCTCAGCCTCCCATGCCGGCTAATTTTTTTTTATATATTTTTAGTTGTCCAGCTACAGCTAATTTCTTTCTATTTTTTAGTAGAGACGGGGTCTCACTCTTGCTCCGCTGGTCTCAAACTCCTGACCTCAAGTGAGGTCCTCCTCCAGCCTCGGCCTCCCAGAGTGCTAGGATTACAGACATGAGCCACTGTACCCGGCCAAAATTAGCTAGTTTTAAATAAAACAAGTATCTTATTTTAGTGCTAGAGTCTAAAATAATCAGACTTTCATCTTTTTTTCTTCATCATAGATATTGAGACAAATTGTTTAGAAGAAAAAAGCAAGAGAGACTATTTTACACAGTTGGTATTAGCATGTTTGGTAAGTTTTAAAAAATATTTTCTCTTTTTAAAATTTGTATTGAGCAGTTGCAATCACAGTTAAATTAATGGAAGAGGATATTGACATTTGGTTGACTGTTCATTATCAGGTGAGATTTGGGTTTTGAAATGGAACGTTTTCTGAAATTAAACATCTATTTCTATGAAATAAGCATGTTATCTATCATCACTTAAATTATCTATACATATGAAACCTTTGGTGATATTTTTGACCTAATAATTTCCTGAGAAAAAGGTAAAACATCTATAAAGTAAGTAGAAATGTTTGTAGACAGGTTTTATTTATTTATTTTTTTAAATTATAAATATAAACATTTTACTTTTTTTCCTTTGTTTTTTTCTTTTAGCACATTCCTTCCTGTTGTATGTAGACAGGTTTTAAACTAAACATTTTTTCATGAATTCTTTATTAGGCAAAGGAGAACAAGAATGGAGGTAGTTCAAAAATACTAAATTCTAGAACCTATCATAATCATTGCCTAGTAAACCATTATGTTCATAAATTTAGAACCAAGGAAAAATTCCATTACTCAAACCTGGAAGAAGATCCTAGTCTTTGCTGTACCAGAATTTGACTTATAGTAGAAACTAAAGAAGGCTAAAGTGCTATATTAAGTGAAAATTCAGTTAAGATAGACCCAGTTTTAATGAGAATTTCATCTGTACTTCTTGTCATTTGTAGGCTGTATACCGTATGCCTGTAATATTTTAGTGAATTTTTTGAAGAAACTGTTGAGTATATATTCCAATATTTAGAGTCATTTTTGTTAAAGTTCTAAGCCTTTTTATAAATTGTAAGTTGATATATATTGAATGCGATTTTTGTATTATTTGGAAAAAATTGTGGCTGCATAGTTGAACTGTTATAAGTGACCTTTAATATTTTTTAATACAGTATTTAGTTTCAGACACAGTTCTAAAGGAACGCCTGGATCCAGAAACACTGGAATCATTAGGGCTTATTAAACAATCACAACAATTCAATCAAAAGTCAGTGAAAATCAAGACAAAACTCTTGTAAGTACATGTATCTTAATGTTGCAGATCAAGTAGTTGAGTATTTTTTTTAGTTCTTATTTTGAATACTAGCAGTTTTTAAAGGCACGTTGAAGATTTTGTTTGTGCTGTTAGTGTGTCTTGTGTTTTTTGCCTTCTAAAAGTAGCCTAAGATTGAGTCATCAGTGAGTTTTACCTGTGTAAAACCAATGTTAATTTTGGCCATATTCAAAGTTAAAATAATATGTAATGTTTTTATTGTTAGCAATAAAGTAATTTATGACTATAGCTATACTCAGGACATATTCTTAGTGATGAAAATCATGATATATTATTGTTCCTTTTCTTGTGTTACCGATTTTCCATATGTAATTAACATTGGGGTTCTCATATGAACCACTGTTATTTTCTCCCTGAAAAGATACACAAAGAGATAAACTTTCAACAGCTATTCTTATGATTGTTGTAAATTAGAGATAAGACAATTCAGTGACAAGAATATAGTACTCTGTGAAAGTTTAGTTGAAATTAATTTCATCCCCTTAATGATATTTATCTGATTTCAGTTATAAGCAGCAAAAATTCAATTTATTAAGAGAAGAGAATGAAGGCTATGCCAAGCTGATTGCTGAATTGGGTCAAGATTTATCTGGCAATATTACTAGTGATTTAATCTTAGAAAATATCAAATCTTTAATAGGTAAGCTATATCTGTATACTCTATGTTATTAAGATAAGTGTTTTTAACTGTTGTAGAATATAGACAAAATGAGTATGTGCCATGATTTTTTTCAGTTAAGAAATGAGAGAAGTGACTAGTTTGTACTTTTAGTATTTTACCAGTAATTATAAAATTTAGCATGTTTATGATAAATCTTTCTGTTACATTATGTTATTGTTATAGTAGGTCCTGCTTTCGTATTTCTATATTTAATTTTTACATGTTTAATTTTAAATATTTCTTAATCATTTTATAGAAGGCAGAAAATAAGCAAATGTGAAAACTTTAAATCTTCAGTGAACTTTTGAAACATGAAGATGTATAATTCTTTTGAACTTGATTTTAAAATACTAGAAGGGACTTTGATACACATTTTATCTTTACAATAGCCTCTTAAAGTAAATGCAGCAGATGATGCAAAAGTGTTACAGATAAGGAAAGTGTTTCTCACTACCTTTTAAATAGAATTTCTGTAGCATTCTTTTTTCCTTTTTCTTTTTCTTTGCATTGAACATTTGGAGAAAGTGGTTGACTTCTATAGAAAAGAGGAATGAGTGCTAGAAAAATAGGATAATTCTGATTTCCCAAGGGTAGAAAGAATGTTTGCTATTATTTGTTGGGTGTTATGCTATCTCAGGAAGATTTTGCAACACCTAGATGGCTTAGGTTTTGAGATCTGCCAGAGAAGTCATATTTCCTGCCTCACTGGTTATATCTTAGGGGATGCTTATCCTCAGCTTCTCTGTTCTGTTTTTGGAGTTTATATATTACTAAGAAAGAGAGAGGAGGTATCCCAATCCTTATCCCCTTCCTCTAATGATTTGTGTAGGAACCCAAATAAAACTATATTTATTACAGTCATCTTTGTTCTTACCAACAAGCAAAGGTAGCTTTTAGTTTATATATACCCTTTTCTTTGAAGTTAGTCTAGTTTTGATGGCTGATCTATTTTCTTTGCTACACCTTCCTGTTGTCAATTTAACATCAAGACAGGTGGTCCCCTAGGGCCATGGGACTCTTATCTGTGTGGCAGTGACCCACTTTAAAAAACCCTCCGGTAGGGATTCCTTTCTCTTCTTTCCAGAGTAGGCTCTATATTTTTCCTGAAGTGTTTTTTGATCTAGTTTGAGAGGCTTTCAGTACTGCTTTGTTATAAGTTTGTCTTTTCTTGTGTCCTGTCATGTACTTACTTAAGATAGTATTCTCCACATAAAAATTCTCTGCTACGTAAGCTCCTCAATTGCTTTTTTTCTTTATCTCCTTTTTTGTTGACATCTCTGTTTCTTCTGTTTTTTTGTCCTGATAAGTTTATGCTTTTTCATTCTTTTTTATTTTGGGAGCATTTTAGAGAGAGGTTTTGTTGAAGGCTTGCTTTTATCTAACTGGAAAATGTACACTATTTTTCTTTAACTTTGCTCTCATAGAGAATAGGTTATATTACTATTTAGGAAGAACAACATGACAGAACTGCAAGCTCATGGCACACATTCCATGAGTATAAACAACTTTATTTCTTGGACTAAACCTCTATTTTAATCCATCAAGTATACAATGAAGGCATGCTAGGCCAGAAGCATTCAAATATCACCTTGTCAGTGAAGCTTTCCCTGGCACCCCTGTCAATACTCCCTATTGTTCCCTGGTTATTTTTCTTTTTAGCAATTATCATTATATCATATGCTATATATTCCTTACCCTCCATGTAAGCTCCATGAGGACAGGGGTTTTTGTCTGTTTAGTACCTTATCTTCTATTTATTTATTTATTTATTTTTTGAGACAGAGTCTCACTTTGTTGCCCAGGCTAGAGTGAGTGCCCTGGCGTTGGCCTGGCTCACAGCAACCTCAATCTCCAGGGCTCAGCGATCCTACTGCCTCAGCCTCCCGAGTAGCTGGGACTACAGGCATGCACCACCATGCCCGGCTAATTTTTTGTATATATATATTTTTTTAGTTGGTCAATTAATTTACTTCTATTTTTGGTAGAGACGGGGTCTCGCTTTCGAACTCCTGACCTTGAGCAATCCGCCCGCCTCGGCCTCCCAAAGTGCTAGGATTATAGGTGTGAGCCACCACGCCCGGCTCTTTTTATTTATTTTTTATTTCTGTTTTGAGACGGAGTCTCACTTTGTTGCCTAGGCTAGAGTGACGTGGCGTCAGCCTAGCTCACAGCAACCTCAAACTCCTGAGCTCAAGCAATCCTTTTGCTTCAGCCTCCAGAGTAGCTGGGACTACAGGCATGTGCCACCATGCCCAGCTAAATTTTTATATATATTTTTAGTTGGCCAATTAATTTCTTTCTATTTTTAGTAGAGACAGGGTCTTGCTCAGGCTGGTTTCGAATTCCTGACCTTGAGCGATCCTCCTTCCTCGGCCTCCCAGAGTGCTAGGATTATAGACGTGAGCCACCATGTCTGGCCAGTACCTTATCTTTAATGCCTGGTATGTGGGTGCTAAATAAACACTGGGTGAAAAATGAGTGAATTTTTTCCCCCTTTCTTTTATAGTTTATAGTGATTCTTAGCTGCTTTTCCCTGACAATGGAGAATTTTAGAAAGTTCATCTCTCTGGGTTAGTGTTTGATTTTCTCTGGCTAGATGACTCCCCCTCCCCCCGAGTTGTCTGAGAAAAGAACTTTTCATTGATGTGAAAATTGAGGTTAAGACTTCAATAAGTATTCCTTCAATGTTAGCATTTATTGGATTCCCTTTTAGTGTAAACTCTATCTAGGCCTTGTCTCATCTGGCCAGAAAAACTCTCTGAGGCAGCATCCTGTTTTTCATGATCTCTTTAGATGAGCGTATCTGTGTTAATTCCTATAGTTTTCTGTTTAGGAACAATGTAGACAGATGATACCTCATATAAAAATATCTCAGGCCTGATGTCCTAACCAGCCATTATCAGAAACTGATACCTCATTTGGTAGGTATGCATTTTAGGTACACTTAGGTTCAGGGTACTTGGACTGATCAGGAGAAATCCTTATCATCCTTTAGTTAAAAGGTAGTTATTTGCTCCCTAAAAGATTCTGGTGGTCAAAATGCTTATATCCTGTTGGATAGCCTGGGCCTATTTAGTGCATGAGCAAGCAAGGAAGCAGAACCATTGTGAATCTGCATGGTGGTGTGTTCTCAACTCTGACACTAAATTTGAACAACTTATTAAATAGGAATTAATAATGATTAATACACTCTTGAGGTGCCAGGTCATAGACCCCATAAAAGTGGTCCTTGCTTCGAGATGGTGAAAAGTATCTTTTAGAGGAACTCCTGACCTTGAGCAATCAGAGGTGGACTCCCTTGATTGCTGAGCTAAACTGTAAGCATTCTACAATTCTGTATGCCCTTTGAAAAATCAAAACATCATGCAGTACACCTATATATATAATTTTTAAAAAAGTGATCGCTTAGGTGTTCTTTCTTTTCCTTCTAAATCAGTGGTCAGCAAATGCTTTCTGTAAAGGGTGAGATAGTAAATATTTTTTGGCTTTGTGGGCCATATGGTTTCTGCTGCAGCTACTCAGCTCTGCCACTGTAGTGTGAAAGCAGTCATAGATAGTACATAAATAAATGTGTAACTGTGTTCCAGTAAAACTTTATTTACAAAAACAGACAGCTAGATGGATTTAACCCACAGGCCACAGTTTGCCGACCCTTGCTCTAAATCAAAAGTTCTGGTGAAAAACTAATCATGGAGTCAGTTTACTTGAGCCTGGTTTTAGAGAATGAAAATGATTCTTCTGGTTTTGAGTTTTAGTGGTGCAGTATCTTTTTGGCGTAGGCTCTAACCTCCTTACCGTCTCTCTGAGAATCAGAGCTCTTTTCATCAAACCTCAGGACCTTCATTTGTTGCCTGGTGTCCAAGATTATACATTTGGCTGGGGGGAGGGGAGGGTAATTAGGGAAGGTCTTTGCTCCTTCAATCTCACAAGTCCTCTTGGTTGCTTGTCAAATGACCGGAGAAACATTAAAGACAAAATGAATCCCTATGCCAAATGATTTTTATTTTTGGACAGATTATAGGAAATGTAACCCCTTTAGCTATAATATTTTAAGTATACTTAGTATTTTATCTCTGGATCAATCTAAATATAAGGTCCATTTAGCTTAGATGCATCTCGTTGTGTCAGCTTTCTCCTATCTTGTTGAAAAGGAAGCCAGTTGGCTGTGTCTTTTACCCAAATTTTTGCTGTATTGAAGTTTCTTGACTATGCATTAGAAGTTTTTTTCCTCTACTTTGAGAAAGAAGATAGCAATTTGGATGCTCAAGCATAAGTTTTTTTCCAATCATACTTTTATTTTGTTAGGTGCATTTTTCTACATCTTGGCTTCTTGCCTGAAGATGTGCAGTTTTTTACAAATAGTATTTTTTTTTTTTGAAACAGGGTCTGTTGTCCAGGCTGAATGTAGTGGTGCTATCATAGCTCACTGTAACCTTGAATTCCTGGGCTCAAGTGATCATTCCACCTCAGCCTCCTGAGTGGCTAAGTTTTAAAATTTTTTTATAGAAATGGGGTCTCACTATGTTTCCCAGGCTGGTCTTGAACTCCGGGACTCAGGTGATCCTCCTGCGTCAGCATCCCAAAGTGCTGGGATTATAGGTGTGAGCCACCATGCCTGGCCTGCACATACGATTTCTTAGAGATAGTCTAGCACAGATTTTTATTAGCCTGCTTTTGAAGGAATTATTTCTAGATGCCAGATCATTTTCTTTTGTTAAAAACATAGTTTTTCTTTTTTTCCTTAAGGTCCATTCTGTCAGGAACATCATGATTGAGGCTATAATTTTGTTTTCTTGTCTGAAATGTATAGGCTGCACATCTCTCCCAGTCATGTTTACAATATTATCCTGGTCTTTTATTTTCCTGATAAGGATCTCAATTCGACCTTATTTCTACACTAGCCAATGTCACTGTAATCATTTCTTGCCTCTAGTTGCAATCACTGTAACATATATTGGCCATCTTGTCCATCTTTGGACAAACTCCAGTTGCTTTTTAGTGCATTTCTTCAGAGATGTATCATTCAAAAGGTATGAACTTTCCTCAAGATTAGGGGAAACATTTTTATTAATCTTTGTATCACAAGCACCTGGCACATAGTGGGTAGTTATTTAATATTTATTTAAATGAAGGAATGAATCTGTGGCCATTATAGGGCTGCAGTTTCTTTATTTTTCCACTCATTTGCTTCTAATATGGTTCCCTGTTTGTTCCTCGAAAGACATTGTGTGTGTGTGCGCATGTATGTTCCTTAATGTAGCTGGTGGTAGAGGTAGGGAGCTAGGCTTATGATCTCTGTCAAGATCATATGACTGTCACTGCTTGGGCTGAACAGAAGCTTTTCTAAGATGCCTTGAACACAAGAGTACTTATGTTCTACCACAGCTGCCATTAGGAACAAAAAAACCTTGGACATTCAAGTTTACTGATTATTACCAGAGTCTCACTGTATATGAAATACCTTAACTGCTATTTAAAACTCTAAGGTTTTAATAATTTTCTAAACCTTTAGTTTAGTTACTTTTTCATCTTATGGATGGAATTGATTGGACTAACTTATGGCACCTAGATATTTGATAGAAAACTCATAAGCCACTTTTTCTTTTGTGAAAGATGCAAAGGTTGGTATCCGTTATAAATAAATGTGCATACCTCAGATTACTGCCTTAAATTGCACCTAGAAAGAAATGGATAGTTGACAGTACAGATCACTAATAGAATAGCCTTGATGGAGTAATACTGTTAAATAAAACACAATGTCAGTGGTTCATATTTCAGCACATTGAAAATATAAACTTCAAAGTAATGTGAATGAAGCACTTAAAAGATTTCCATCTAACATGTTGCCTTTCTAGTCCTTATTCACAAGTTTTGCATATTTAGCCTAATGGGTAATTATAAGCCAGCCAGTTTTTCAAAATTATAATTTTTCAAATATCAGTGATTTTTTAAATCTTTTATGACAGAATTGAGTGTTATTCATTTTTATTTAGTGGTTTAATTTTTATATTTAGTAAATGTAGGAGAAGTTATATAATTGGAGACTTTGCTAGATCTTGTGTAATCTGTTGTCACTGTTATAGCAGTTTAGGGGCATTTTTCCAGCTTTATTTAGGCTTAATTGACCTATAATAAACTGCACATATTTAAAGTGTATAATTTGAGTTTTAACAGATGTATATATCTGTGAAAACATTAGCACAAGCAAGATAATGTGCATTCCTATTACTCCCCCTCAAGTTTCTTCTCGCTCCTTTGTATTTATCATTTCTCACTGGCCCTTTCACTCTCTCTGGGCAACCACTGATCTGCTTTCTATCACTATAGATTAGTTTACTTTTTAAAGAATTTATTTAAAAATGGAATCATGTAGTGTGAACTGTTTTTTTTGTCCGGCTTATTTAATTCAGTCTAATTATTTTGTGATTCTTCCATATCAGTGCCTGTATCAATAGGTCTTCCTTTTTTATTGCTGAGTAATATTCCACTGCATATGTTATAGTTATCCTATGCTATAATTTTCTTATCCATTTACATGTTGATGGACATTTGGGGAGTGTTTCTTAGTGCAAATAAAGCTGCTATAAACATTTGTGTACAAGTTTTTGTATTAACAGAGACATATATTTCTCTTGGGTAAATACGTAGGAATAGAATGGCTGGGTCATATGGTAGGTATAAATTTAACTTTTTTACAAAGTGGTTGTACCATTTTACATTCCCACCAGCAGCATTTAAAGATTTTAATTGCTATTTTGGAGTCATTTTTACATTGATAGGCCATACTTTTTGGAGCTATAGCGGGAGGCAAAATATTTAGAAGTTTTCTTCCCAGGACTTTAGGAAAACATCTTTTTGGAGAATTTATGAAAATTTGGAGCTCTTTTAAGTAAGACATGATCACTGCTCTCGTCCTTCTTTTCCTTAGTGTGAGAAATGGAAGAAAATGTGTGCTTAAATTTGGATTTCATAAAAAGAGGGAAAAATACTTGTTATTTGGAAGATTTGGTTTTCTAAGTGATTGCTAAGGTACTATGAAACAGACATTAGTTTTAGAGCTAATATGTTAATAAGTGTGGAGTTACTGGAAGTAACAGGAGATCTTCTCTTATAGAAAGGTTGTGTCAGGAATAAGGAATAGGCTATGTAAGAATTTTCTTGGAAAAATCCCCTAAATCATCTATAAGGTACAAGTGTTTAGACATAACTTAGTAAGTTCAACACAGTTCTTCTTTCCTGTAATATTAGAAGAAATTGGTGTTTATTTGCTGGTCCAGTGAAGTGGTTAGCTTGTATTTAGGGGCTGTGTCTAATGAAAAATTCATAATTTAAACAAACTATCAGAATCCCATTCAGCTTGATGAAAGACATGTGGGAACTGACATAAACTGAGAGAACAGCAGATTGATATCTCATGTTCATTCTGGATCATTTTTTTAAAAAAAAATTTTCAAGACTAGTCTTGTGCTGTAGTGAGGTGGTGGGAAGAGTAGAATTAGGAGTTTGATATATAACTGACTGTGAACAATCAATTGAGGTAACTCATTACCTTTGAACCAGCCCATCAGCGTATGTTTTATTGAGAGGAATGGTGTATAGAATCGCCTATATCATTTAAATTCTCATTCTCTCTCTCTCTCTCTCTCTCTCTCTCTCTCTCTCTCTCCCCCCTCCCTGCCTGCCTCCCTCTCTCTCCCCCCTCTCTCTCCCTCTCTCCTCTCTCCTCTCTCTGCTGTGTGCAAATGGTTGAATTCTCATAACCTAGGCTAGGCATGATGGCTCACTCCTATAATCCCAGCACTTTGGGGAGGCCAAAGGGGAGATTTGCTTGAGGCAAGGAATTTGAGACCAACCTAGGTAACATAGTGAGATCCTATCCTTACAAAAAATTTAAAAAACAATTATCTAGGCATGGTGGTGTACACCTGTAGTCCTACCTGTTCAGGAGGCTGAGGTGGAATGCTTGAGGCCAGGAGTTCAAGGTTGTAGTGAGCTATGATCACGTTACTGCATTCCAGCCTGGGTGACAGAACAAGACCCTGCCTCTAAAAGAAAAAGAATTCTCATAACTTAAATGTACATATGATGTAACTGCACTATAATCATAGTAATAGCTGAAGCTGAATGCATATGGTGTTAATAATATATTAAGAGTAGGGTGACTGATAGGGATATTTATTAAATTCATGTCCACCAACGCTTTTTAGTTCAGCCTGGGAGATTAGCAAGGATAAGTAGTCATGAACACCACCAATTCAGTGCTTCTTTCCTTTCTTTTTTCTGTTCTACTTAGGCTGTTTGTTTTCTTCCTTCTCTCTTTACTTCTGTCATCTCCACTTCCTTGTTATGTCTCCATAACAAGGGGGACAAGGGGGACTTTTTTAATATTCTTTGATCTCATAGTAGTATGTCTCTTTTCCCTTTGGAATGCTGCTAAAAGCATAGATATAAATCAGTGGTATAATTACATTTTGTAGCTTTGTTGTATATATAAGATAAATTAAAAATTGATTCTGAAAATGATGTTCTGCTTTCATGAACCCGAACTTTTAACTGTTTATCAACATTCCAAATACTTCTGCCTGAAACATTTAAAGAAACCTCTTTAGTTGCTTAACTTGTAAAATGCATTGTTTGAGTTTCATATTTTGCTAAGAATATATAATGTCGATCTCTTTCAGTAGTATGCATAATCAAGAACTAATGAGACAGTGTGGAATAGAAGAACATTTACTTGACTAAGGTCTCAGGTCCTGGGTTCCAGCCCTAGATCTGTCATAAACCTACTCTGTGATCCTGGGCAAATCACATTTTCATCTCTAAAATGTGTAGAGTGGACTTTCTGGTCTCGAAAGTTATAAATATTTCCCTCTGGGGAAGAGGGAAGAAAACTTGTAAAAGTTGTTTTTAAAAACATTTTTATCTTGATATATAAGTTATGCCTGAAAGTTAATGGCTTTACTAGAAATGATGTATAATCACTTTTGAATTTGTGTATGTCTCATCTGTTGCAGGATGCTTTAATCTGGATCCCAATAGAGTTTTGGATGTCATTTTAGAAGTGTTTGAATGCAGGCCAGAACACGATGACTTCTTTATATCTTTATTAGAATCTTACATGAGTATGTGTGAACCGCAAACACTGTGTCATATTCTTGGGTTCAAATTCAAGTTTTACCAGGTAAAAAAATGTGTATATATGTATATATAGAGGTTAATTTGTTAATTTTGTATATATAATTTAATTTGAGTTTTATTTATAAATGATTGGTTTTAGCTCAGACATTCTAGCAGAGGAGATGGATGAATGGATAGGTAACAATGCAATGTCATATATATTATTAATATATTAGTAGTACAAATGACATGTGAAAGCCTGGAGGACAGGATGATTGATTTTTGCCTTGGGAGAGGTAGAGTCAGGGAAGATTTTATAGATGTAACCTTCTTCTTCTTCTTCTTTTTTTTTGAGACAATGTCTTGCTTTGTTGCCCAGCCTAGAGTGAGTGCCGTGGCATCAGCCTAGCTCACAGCAACCTCAAACTCCTGGGCTCAAGCAATCCTACTGCCTCAGCCTCCTGAGTAGCTGGGACTACAGGCATGCGCCACCATGCTCGGCTAATTTTTTTTTGTATATATATATATATATATGTGTGTGTGTGTGTGTGTGTGTGTGTCCAAATTAATTGGACAACTATATATATATATAGTTGTCCAATTAATTTCTTTCTGTTTATAGTAGAGACGGGGTCTCGCTCTTGCTCAGGCTGGTTTTGAACTCCTGACCTCAAGCAATCCACCGGCCTCGGCCTCCCAGAGTGCTAGGATTACAGGTGTGAGCCACCGCGCCCGGCTAGATGTAACTTTCTTTTAACCGGGTTCTTGAAGGATGAGTAGGAGTTCATTCAAGTTTTCTATGCAAGAGTGACCAACAGTGTGAGAGTGAAGATGTGGCAGTGTGAATCTACATAACAGATTGGAGGAATGGTCCATAGTCTGGTGTGGCTGGATTGTAAGGTGGAAAAAGAAGGGACAGGAAATAGAGTTGGAAAAGTACGTGTACTGTAGATTGTCATCGGCCTTAAATACAGTGTTAAGAGTTAGAATTTTATTTTATAGATAATGGCTATGGGAAATTTTTATGGGTGTGAATATATATTTGAGGCACAACTTATATCATTATTTGCTTAAACCACTACGATAGCTGTCAAACTAATCTATGCCTCTGATTATTTCTTTCAATTCATCTTTTGTGTTATTGCTACTGTTGACTTCTTTTTTTTATTATAAAATATAAAAATTTTATTTACAAAATTTTTACTTATTACTATCTTTTCTGTCAAGAGGACATTTACCTTGCCTGGATATTGTTGATTTCTAAAAAGAGTTCTAACTGAGGCACTTCACTGCTCACAAGCTTTTGCTTGTAGGATGAAATTCAAACTTCTAAATGTGACAGAAAAGGTTCTTCACAATCTGGCACTGTTCTTTCTCTCCAGCCTTATCTTTAGTCATTTTTCACTTACATCTGTGATTCTGTTCATATCAAATGACTAGCCATTTCCTGAACATAGGTATAGACATTGCTATGAAACTTTGTTCATGTAGTTCCTTATAATTGAAAAGCTATTCTTACCCAACTCTCTCACTTTTCTTCATCTTGTGAACTCCTTTTTATTCTTTAAGATCAAATGCCACTTACTCTGTAAAGTCTTAGCTGATACTTTACCCATGCAGAATTAGTCCCATCTTAATCTGTATTCTCCAGAAACTTCTCACATTCAGTAAGTTTTGTTAGAATAAACTGTGTCTATCTCCTTTGCCAGACTATGAGCCATATACGACAAGTTCTGTGCTTTACTAATTTCTGTGGATTAGTTTATTGCTTAGTCTATAGAAAATACTAATTTTAAATGAGTGATCTATGTTTTGGGAAGATCATTCTCTTGATAGCATGGGGGATTTTAATGTAATAAGGCCTCCACTGTCCTTTTGGTATAGCTTTTCTAATTTATCTACTTGCCTGGGATAATCTAGTCACAAAAGTCTCATTCATTGAGTGCTTATGGTATGCTGTTGCTTTGCTAGGTACTGAGTTCTGGTAAAAAGGAGTGTCTATTCCTATACTCTTGGGGCTTGAGTTTAGGATAAGAGGATTCCTTTTAGGATTCTCAAATGATATACCACCTACTGCTTCTGCTTATCTTTTATTTTCTATTCTCTGGATGCTCCAGAACTACAGTCCCCAACCCCTGGGCTGCAGACCGGTACTGGTCCATGGCCTGTTAGGAATCAGGCAACACAGCAGGAGGTGATCAGCGGGCAAGCAAGGGAAGCTTCATCTGTATTTACAGCCACTCCCCATTGCTCACCATTCCCCCCACCCCAGTCCATGGAAAAATGGTTTTCCATGAAACTGGTTCCTGGTGCCAAAAAGGTTGGGGATCACTGCCCTGGAAGACGGAAGAGAAAGCATATCAGAGTTTAAAAGCATATAGCTTTTTGAGACCAAATGAGTTTTTGGGCAAGAACATCTGTGTTCAAAAATTAGCAATGGCAGCTGTCCTTTTCCTATCAATAGCCAGAGAGTCCACTCTTAGTATAGGGAAAGAGAGGTTCAAATATTCCATCAGATTTTAAGAGGCAACATGCTTGCTTTGGGTTTGGGAACATAAAGCCAACTGCTGAAGTGACAGGGTAGCTGAAATTTAATTTGGGCATAATTAAGATACAGACTAGGGTCTGCATGGTGGCTCATGCCTGTAATTCCAGCACTTTGGGAGGTTGATGCAAGAAGATAGCTCAAGGCCAGTAGTTCAAGACCAGCCTGTGCAACAAAGCAAGACTCCTGTCTCTTAAAAAAAAAAAGAAAGAGAAAAGAAAAAAAAAATTAGCTAGGCATAGTGGCATGTGCCTGTACTCTTAGCTACTTAGGAGACTGAGGCCAGAGGATCGCCCCAGGAGTTGGAGGTTACAGTGAGCTTGATTGTACAACTGCACTCTAGCCTGGGTGACAGAGTAAGACTCTGTTTCAAAAACAAAGAAAACAACCAAGATATAGATTAGGGCTCTGGAGATTATATGTTTCAGAGCATGTGACAGTGAATAAATGATAACCTATTACATGATATCAAGTTTTACTTGAATGTGAATTTTAGAATTAAAAATCTTTTTTATATGAAAACATTTTTGAGTTGAATTAAAATATACTTGGGGAAGTTGAGAATATTTGAATAGGTTTTTTTTTTTTTGGTAGATAATGGGCATTTTTCATTCCCATCTAAGAAATACTTGATTTCAAAATAACCTGTTCTTGGAAGGAGTAACCCTCTTGATCTGTATAATGCCGTTTCCTTGTTTCTATTGCTAGAGCTGTCTTGTCATTGTGGGAATCAGCAGTCTTAAGAGCCACTGAGGGTAGGGAAAGAAACATCAGAGATTTTTGATGATTTGTGGTCTAGGAGGTAAAGTAAGGACAGCTATGAAAATCAGGAACTGCTTAGGAGGCAATGTGACCTTGAGAGTTGGCTCCCAGGCATGTATGGTTGTGATATGTTTCATATGGTGTCATATCTGATATCTGTCTTTAAATGCTTCAGTAAGTTGTTGACAGTCTGATCACTCCATTATACAGTGGCATTTCCCTCTTTGTCAATAGCAGGTTATCCGAAGATCGATACTTCGGTACCATGTGAATATCCAGTTTCTCATCTTTGCTTGAGCCAGCTCTTTTCCTTAGCGGTTCCAATTTGTTGATTTACTACTTTTATCATGCCCTTTATATTATTAGTTGTCATTATTCTGTAAAGAAGAGTTGTCCCTTATCATCTTGGCCTGTTTTGTTTCCTTGAAATATAGTTCCTACTGGAAAGGCAGGACAAATGATTAAAATTTTCCAATAATTACCAGGTATTAGAGTAAGAAGTTTCTTTATTAGCAACCTCTAGTGGTGACATGAGTGATGTGTGTATGTGTGTGTGAGGGAGAGAGTTTGGAGTGTTAGGGATGGAAATCAGGAATTCAATTTTGGACATGTTAAGTTTCAGATGTCTCTTAGATATCCAAGTATAAATAACTGGTAAATAAATAAATCTGAGAAATAAGAATAAAGAAATCAAGAGAAAGGGCTGGCCTAGAAATAGAAATGTGGATATCACGTATAGCAAAAGCAATCTTAAGCAAAAAGAACAAATTGGGAAGCATCAATTTACCAGACTTCAAGCTATATTACCAGGCTACAATAACTAAAACAGCATGGGACTGGCCCAAGAACAGAGACATAGACCAATGGAACAGAACTGAGAACCCAGATATAAAACCATCCTCATATAGCCATCTAATCTTTGACAAAGCAGACAAAAACTTACAGTGGGGAAAAGATTCCTTATTCAATAAATAGTGCTGGGAAAGCTGGATAGCCACATGTGGAAGACTGCACAGGATCTGCACCTTTCACTTCTCACAAAAATCAACTCATGGTGGGTAACAGACTTAAACCTAAGGTGTGAAACTATAAGAATTCTAGAAGAAAATGTTGGAAAAACTTTTTTTTTTTTTTTGAGACAGAGTCTCACTCTGTTGCCTGGGCTAGAGTGCTGTGGCATCAGCCTAGCTCACAGCAACCTCAAACTCCTGGGCTCAAGCAATCCTTCTGCCTCAGCTTCCTGAGTAGCTGGGACTACAGGCATGAGCCACCATGCCCGACTAATTTTTTCTATATATTTTTAGTTGGCCAATTAATTTCTTTCTATTTTTAGTAGAGACGGGGTCTTGCTCTTGTTCAGGCTGGTTTCAAACTCCTGACCTTGAGTGATCCACCTGCCTCAGCCTCCTAGAGTGCTAGGATTACAGGAGTGAGCCACCATGCCTGTCCAGAAAAACTCTTAAAGACATTGGTAGGCAAAGAATTTATGAAGATAGATCTCAAAGGCAATCACAACAACAGCAAAAATAAATAAATAGGACCTGAGCAAATTAAAAAGCTTCTGCACAGCCAAGGAAATTATTACGAGAGCAAACAGACAACCTACAGAATGGGAGAAAATATTCACGTGTTACACATCTGATAAAGAGCTGCTAACTAGAATCTATATAGAACGCAGGAAAACCAGCAAGAAAAAAATCAACCATATCAAAAAGTGGGCAAAGGACATGAAGAGAAACTTTCCAAAAGAAGATAGA